AAATATATAAAGTATACAAACGAATTCGTAACTACACTTATATACCAATCTGTTATCTGTCGTCTGTCGTCATTATATCGATCTGTTATCTGTCTATATTTTATAACTCAATAGATTTTGATGTTTTAATATATTCATTATTATCGCTATTATTATTTCTCCCGCTGAGACACCAGATCGACTCACCTGGTTTATACAGACTGGGCTCCCGATCGGGTTTATCAATTCAGGATCGCCTGATTTGTGCTATTCGGGCTCCCGATCGGGCTTCTCAACTCGGGATAGCCTGACTTGTGTTAATCGGGTTCCCGATCGGGGCTCGCCGAATCGGGATAGCCCGATTATTCCTGACCGGGCTCTGGTTGGGAACAGAGAATGCCCGATCGAGTTTCTACCAGGGTATATATAAATAAAAACTACTTATATTCTATATTACTTAAAAAAACAATACATGATACTATTATAAAAAAATAGAAAGTATTTTTAGAAGAATTCATTTTTTAATTATTAACTTTTTTCCATAATTATATATACCAGGCGATAATAATCATTCTTGATCTCTCTAGCTAGTCCAAAGTCTCCAATTTTGATGACACGATTCTCTCGATTTCTCGAAGATACTAAACAATTGCGACACGCTAAATCTCTATGTATGAAACGTAACTCTTCCAAATAGCAACAACCTCGCGCAACATCTTCGCACATGGCGAGCAAATCTTGCAAACGCAGAGCAAGCGAATCTGACGCTTGCAAATTTCGACATTCTCTCAAATATTTTAACAGATCTCCAGTTTCTATCAATTCCAACACTAGTAACGGAGAATCTCCATCTAAACAAACGGCCAACAATCTTAATATATGTTTGTGTTGAAAATGACTCATAAGCTTGGCTTCCTTTAACAATTTCTCTTTCTCATGGGAAGAAGCATCTTTTCGAAGCGTTTTTATTGCAACGGATATCTCTGTGCCCGATTTTTTTAAATCCTTCACCTTTCCTTGATACACCTGCAAAATATTTCACACAAATTTACATTCGTATTTTATTGAAAAATGTATAATTTAATGTCAAGTAGTATTTTACTTTATATTTTACTTTATATTTTACTTTATATTAAATAATTCAATGAAAAGTATATAATAAAGTACATGCTTGTTTTCTCATGTAAATTTTATATTACTTATAATCTGTTTAAAAAATTCATGTGATTTATATCTTTATTAGAAAATACGTATCTGTTAATCCAAAAAATAATTTAAAATATTGCTTGAAAAACTTAATTTTTACCATTCCGAATGCGCCGCTACCAAAATGTTTCGTAAGTGTAATTTGATTTCGTGCGATTTTAGTTATCGCACATTCATCCGGGTTATAATGTACCATAGGACTGTAAATCATATTGAATTGAGTGTTCCGGTAAGGTACTTCAGGTAGAATCGCCAATTCTACATCGGTCATTGTAGAAGACATAAATTGTTCATTATTACCTCTGCGTTGACGATACACTATTATAAAATTTCGATTTAATTATGTAATAATATGTATTATAAAATTTACTGTATTTTAGAAAATTTATACGTTTAGTTTTATATAAATAAATTACTATTTTCAATAAATCTCTAGATATTATATCAGATATATATGTATAATCTACAATTCAAGTTGACATTTATATCAAATATACTTACAACGATAAATGTAGAAAATGCAGATTATAGGAACTATAACCAACATCAATAATAAGTAATATTTATTCCCTATTATTCCAGGAGTGCTCGGAATATCTAGATTAAGCAAAAATATAATTTTAATATCTTCGTGTGTGTATATTTTTACAAATTTATTTTTACTTATAACTTTATTATAAGATTTAATTTTTTTAAATTTTAGATTCCTATTCATATCCAAAAAATATCAGCACATATTATAATATCTATCAATATTATAATATCTATGCAGCACAACTACTTCGCAACAATGTTGCAATATTACAAATTGCAAGGCAACATTACGAAAACATTGTAGAAATATAATTTAACAAAATGTGAATTAGATATTAGCAATATGATATTCATATTTTGAAAACATTTTAAAACTATAACACTCTTTAATTTATCTATAAAAATAATGTAATAATATATTTTTTTATGTCTGTATATATGCGATGCATTTTACTTTTTTGCAAAAGTCAAATGAATTATTGACACAAATAATATCGAGTAAATATAATTTAAGCTACAGATAAGCCTTGCTATTTTTTTATTAAAATATAGATAACATTTTATATCAATGTTACTATATATTTTATGATATATTTTCACTTCATGTACGAATACGATATTAATCTTCAAAGATAACATATCTTTTTATTATATTAAGAATATATATTATTATATCTATCATTATATTTTTCTATGCATTTTTTTTGTACTTTTTATAAACAAATATATGTAATTATAACGAATTTTTAAAATTTTAAAATTTTTAAATCAAAATGTAATTAGGAATGTATAACTAATTCTATAACTAATATATAAATGTGTATAAAATACCCATTATAAGAGTATATAGAACATTTAAAATAAAAAAAGTGATTCGTAACTAATAGTTTAGAGCAATTTTGTATAAAAATATAACATTTTATTTTATATGATGTTATGTTTAAATATAATTTTGCAATATATTAGATATCATAAACTAGTATTTATATCAAGCTTTTTAATTTAATTAAATGTTTCCAAGATATTCATCCATCAAAAACAAAAAATATTTTATACGTAATGTTATTAAATAGATGCAATAACATTGCATTCTTTCCAGTATATTAAACTGTAATATTGCTAAAATATTTCATTGCAACAAGCGAACACTTTAACTTTATCACAATCTTATAACAATAACTCAGCAAAGTTTCGCATTCGATTTACAATATTGCAATGTTTCAATGAAATTATTCTTCAATATATCCGCAATCTTATCGTGCTGTATAGGTATTTTCATTTGCTTACCACGTTTGCTACCACGTGTTGAAAAAGTAAATCTTTCATCAGCCGGCCATATAAAAGTTTCCTCATATTCAAGATATCTCAAGCGAAACTTGTATAAAGTTCCCGATTGTAAATTTTTGACATAGTATATTACTTTATCTTTATAATTCATTTTAAAATAATTCTTTGTTTGCCACTTTTCTGCTGCAATATCTTTGTACTCTAGTGTAAAAGAGATCGTCAGATTAATGTTGGAGATCCACGAAATGTTCATGCTATTTATGTTGATCTCGCTCAAAATAATATTGTTTGGTTCTGAGAATATGTGAACGATCTCGTTTAAACTCTCGTTGTAGAAATCGCTGAAATTACTTGGATATACACGCACGTATATCAAGTAATCTTGTATTGGTAGCGACAAGTTAATCTTTGTGAAAAATCTGCCGTCTGCCATACGTTTCGGCATATTAATAAATTGTTTGCTCTTTTGTTGCATGCCGTTCACTAATATAACTGACTTCCAATGCACTTCGTAGATCAGGTCCGCGCAGTTTAATTTCTTGGATGGCATCCAATGAACTACTGCTATAGTAGGCGTCAAAACTAAAACGCTTATGTTTTCTGGTGCATTAGGCTTGCTTGAATTTGTTTTTACTGATATCATATTCGAATCGAATGGATTTATTGATAATTGATCAAAGTAAAAATTGCTTAAAGTAAACTTCAAGTTGTACTCTGTAAATGGTGTTAAGTTTTGAATCTCGTAATGTCGCTCGCACGTCACATATCGCAGCACATTGAATTTCTCAGACTTGTTGAGATTGTTGCCTAAACAGCTTACAGAGATAGTATATATAGTAGTTGGTAAATTATATTTTTTGCATCCACTCTTTACAACCGGCTCCGGAAGATTCACAATGATGCTGTTTGTTGTTGTATTCACATTCTCAAAATTATAAACTTTCTCGTCAGGTGTCAGGCATCTCATTGGAGGATATGGTTGTAAAGATTGATCAAAGGTGTGAATTTTATAAAATTTCTTATTTTCAATTGGGTATATTATCTTTTCAACATATTTGTCTGCATTTACGCTCTTGAGACTTGCATATTTCTTTTTCAAAACATAAAGAGAAGATTCACCCCAATAATTATTTGCTAAAATGTAAATGTTTTTTTTATCAATCGTCATAGATATGAACCTGGAGATATCACTTATGTTTTTCTTGTGTAAAATCTTACTGCATATAGAAGCGTTAGTGTCTGTCACAAATATGCAACTAGAAAATAACCAGTAAATTAATGGCTCCTCATTATTTATGTTTTCAAATATTATTTTATAAACATATGTATGTTCATCATGAAATAGGCACAAGGATGTATTTATCGAAACAATTTGCTCAATTTTTTTATCAGGATAATATTTTTTTATATTCTTTATATTTTTATATTTCTTTATATTTTTTATATTCTTTATTCGCCCGATTGTATGATACGTAATATAAAATTCTAAAAAATATGTAATAATTTTACTCTCATTTTTACTTTCATTATAAAACATTATTTTAACAGAAAACACAAATTTGTTTGTAGTAAAAATTCGAAATTCTTATAATTATATTATAACCTATTATTTTTTTACTTAAGATCTTATTTGTAAAATCACGTAAAATTATAGAAAAATTACAAATATGCATAAATCTTTAATAGAAAATTATTTTTTCAGGTGAACGGTAGTAAACGTACCCCATAGACGGTGACATACTTAAAAAGGAAATACTGTCTGATGATTTGACAATCTCATCAAATTTAATTATGCCATTTTCCCACATTGTTAAGTCGAACTTTACAATATAATTGTAGGCTGATCGTCGATAGGTGAAATATAGATTCCTTGCTAACCAGTCAATGCAGAGATTATATAAATATAGTTTGAAGCTAGTTATTTTTGTGATATTATTTTCATTAATCTTTAATGTCATTAGGTTTTTTTCGGTACTCCAATAAATTCTATGTTCTTATATCGAATAAGCGACATATTCTACATATCTGAAAAAAAGGAACCAATTATAATTGTACAGTAAAAAGTTATAATTAAAATTTCTAATTTTATAGTTATTACTGCTGTAATGTTGATAATAATAAACATATGCATAATAATAATAACTTTAATTTTATACTTAGTGTTAAAAATAATTTATGATAAATATAACTGTTTTTTATCAGTGTACCCTGACATTAAGGTATTAGTAATTCTTAAATCCACGTCCAATATTTTCATATCTAGATCCGTTGTGAGTAATAATTTAGGTATTGGATTTTCATGTGTAGTCGACACATTAATGAAATCCGTGTAAGGACCAGCAACAATTTTAGTATGCGCACGTACTCGAAAATAATATGTTGTGTTAGATGTTAGATTGTGCACAATGTGCTCCAATTTTGTAGCTGTGATATTTTTATCATCGCAGGTTTCTTTAAAATCCTCGAAGAAAAAACACTGCACTTGATACACTTGTATTATTTCATCGACAAATTCTGGTTGGTTCCATCTGTAAAAACATAAAATTTTAGCAAAACGAAATGAAAAGGAAGGCTAAAAGAACGTGGCGCAAGAGCGTAAAAAAGTCGAAATAATAATAAAGACTCTGAGTAAGAGACATAATATATTAATAATCAGTCAGATATAAAAATATAAAAAATATGTCTGAAAAAATTGATTCGAGTGAACAGAAAATAATACATACGTACGTTTCGATCTTTTCAAGATCTTTTTCAATGTTCGAGATGTCGTTAGAAAATAAATTAAATTAAATTAAAATTAAATTAAAATAAATTAAAATAATAAATTGAAATAAAATTTGAACCATTTTATATTTTAACAAAATTTTGAGAGAATTATCATTTTGATTTTATTTATGTCGATAAATTTAAGAAAAAGAAAGAATAATGGAAGAATACAAACTGAGAATTTAGATTTCTTACCTCAGTGTCACAAAAACTTTTTCTGTAAATTGACTGTCGAATTGTACAAATGCTCTGAGAGATATTGGCTTGCTCAAACTGGTTTCTAAAGATTTTAAGATCGTACACATTAACACAGTTATATATAAGATTAAGTGGATTATCTCAGTAAATCAGAAAGAACAATTTAATCTGAAAATAACGGAAAGAGAAGAAATAAATACACTACAAAATATGGAAATTAGTATTGAACTTTAAAAAGATAATATAAGAATTTTTTGCGTCATTTAAGATTTAGAAAAGTAATCGTTAATTCATGGCGAAAACGAATAAATAATTTTTACTAAAATGACAAGTACTTTTCGAAAAATTCCTATAGCTTAAAAAGTCAGAAGTATAATATTTGTGACTGCTTTAAAACAGAGTAATATATTAATAAAATTGATTTTACCTTAAATTATAACAATTTTTATGTAGAATGTTATGTTTATATTATGCTTTTCTGTTTCTTTTTAGGGCAGAATTAGAATTTATATTCTTTTCAATACTGGAAGATATTTTTAGATTTGATTGCCATTCTCTCTTGAATTTAAATTATATTTACACTTTTTTATCATAGATTTTGTTATTAATGTTTAATTTTTTTGCAACTTACCGATAAATTCTGGAATGATAGTAATATTTCTGAGTATAACTTCATCGACTTCTCGCTTATTTCTCACAGTACTATCAGAACTTCGGTCAGATTTGAAATTTAGTATATGATGCTCACTTTTCTCGGACATTGAAATATCCTTCATAAAGTGTAACATACGAAAAGAATTAAGTGAATATCATTGAGGCGATTGTTTCTGGCTTTTAATGATAAATTACATAATATATAAAATTAAACAAAAAATTGCCATTCGTTTTTGGTTTACTTATTAATACCGGTTTGATATATATCATTTCTAAATGATATAAATTGAATGTGATGTAGTTTTATTCATATCATAAAATCTATTTTATATTTATTTTTTTTTAAGGCATCTTGTATATCAAACATACTCATGTCAAAAGGAAAATCAAAAATAGGTTAACGAGAGTCAATGAGAATTCATAACAGCTTTTGTCAGGTACAAACGAAAGTGTAGCTCTTTGCAATTATTAAAACAATTTTGTCTAACGATTTGATTCATTCTCACGATAGGTTAGTTAACTTTATTCAATTATACCGTAACGCATATTTCTTTTTAAAAATTTGCCGATATATTAAAGTTTTATTAATGTTTGTACTTCAAGAATAAAAAGATTAAAAATATTGTTTCTTTACAGTTATTAAATATTAGAATTATATAAATTCTTTTATTAATTACCTTGTCAAGTTTTTTCGCGAATTGTTTCGAATGTTCGTTATATTTTTAACACAAACAAATTCAGCAAATAATAAATATAAATCGATAGTATAAACCGATAATGTCTCGATAAGAATATGTGTATATAATTGTATATAAATGGATATATGTACAATGAAATTTAATATAAATTCTTGTGATAGTTGTTGAATATATTGTCGATCGAAATATTAGCGTTAATAGATACAACTTGAAGAATGTTTGATGAATGATTTTTTTATCACACAGATTTTCTATCTCGATATTTAGTAGCTCCCGTTATATAATTATCCTAAACACAAAGAAATGATGCTAACTTTCTAAATTAATTTTATAAAATAAAATTTACATTAATATAAAGCTTACTTCATATCAATAAATATTATATATATATATATATATATATATATATATATATATTTATCTAGAAAAATAAAGAAATTTTAAAAATTGAAGAAAAATAACATAAAAATCTGTTGAAGTGCCATTGTATGTATATATTAATGTAGCAGATAGTAGACACAAAACTTCAATAATTTTAATAATTGTTATTTTTAGAAATAATTATTTTATATATATATATATATATATATATATATATTTTTTTTTCATTTTGAATTATTTTATTTTATCTTATCTTATTATATGTAGAATATATAATTTATTATCATTCATGTTTAGTTACACTAATAACTGCAATAACATTCAATTGTTTCTTAATCAAACGAAAATATCTCTTACCTGCGTGAAATTTAATTCCGGACGCATGGAAACATTTTCTTCCTGGAGGATGTTTGAAGTGGTATAATCCTTCGGCGTGATAGTTGCCTTTATCAATACTAAACCTTTCAATAAAACACAGAAAATTGTTCCAAACATGATTTGCATTTTTCTTAAACGTTTACACTCAATCAGTTCCCGTTGAATTCTCAGTTTATTGTTCTTCTCACTCTGCTAATTCTAATATGTTAATCGAATTGACAGTAATTCATATATATAAATTTACTTTCGATAAATTCCTTAATACTCAGTTTTAACGAATCGTACGTTATTATCTTCTAATATTATGTTTTTAGGTTTCTCTTTATGGTCGCGATCACAATATATATCTTAAGATTAAATTAGGGAATTTTTAGTAAATAAATAATTTTTTTTAAGAGAACAAATGGCAATGCAAAATAATACAAAATGATTTGATTGTATAGCAAACAAAGGAATATAATTATTATCAGCTTTTTTTTATTAATATTATAGTAGAAAAACGTCGATAAAAAAATAACCACAATCAAATTACAAATGATCAGAGAACCCGACTGGAAATTAAAGTAGGGTCCTGATAAGGGCCATACAATATTTGCCTGACTTCATTGTCGGGGCCTGTTTTTTTTGCCTTATCAGTACCTTATCAGTATTGTATAAGCATGTAACGCCATTTTTTTATAAGGTCCATATAAGGTATCATTATTAGGTCCTTATAAAATTAAAGTCAGGTCCTCATAGGGACCTAATTAGAAATTAAGATAGAATTCCAATAAGGACCATATACCGTTTACCTAATTTCGTTGTAGGGACATGATATTTTTGCCTTATCAGTACCTGAATGAGCATATAACACTATTTTCTTATAAAGTCCATATAAGGTATCATTATTAGACCCTTATAAAGTTATATCAGGTCCTCATAGGGAAATATATAAGGTCATAATTAGGTATTTTAATGAGAACCCACGATAACGATAAAATAATTTCTGTTTGGTTATTGTCAAGATAATTATATTTTTGATGTGACAATCACAATTGAAATAGAATTTAATATTGAAATAGAATTTGAAATTTAAGATTATTAAATTCTTCTAAAAAGACATAGATTTTTATATATACAAAACACACACACACACACAGTGAACGTGTTAATTTATCTAAGTTTTGATTTGACATTTTTTTTCTGTAGAGGCGATATAAATACATGTATAAAATAAATAAGAACTCTTTAAATAATAAAAGATATTAATCTAAATAATATGCATATTTATTTATTATATTTACATAATTCATATGTATATGTATATGTGCACTATTATTTTTTATGCACATATATTATATGTTTTTTTGCAGAAAACAAATAATAAAATAATAATAATTATAATAACATAATAATAATGTAATAATAATAATAATAATGATGTAATAATTTCGAAAACGTATATTTTTATTTAACATTTGAAATTTAAATATTTAATTAATTAGTAATTTAAATTTAATATAATAAAGTGTCATTGAACATATAGAACATACTACTCGGATAATTCTTCTGTATTTTTCGTGCGATCTCGATGTTCCGCCCGTTTGCCGTTCCAATCTTTTACATTATTAAAGATTGCTTGTATTGCTTCTTTAAACTGCCTCTTGGATAAAGGATTTTCTTTTTTTTTAAATTTATTTGATACAGCAGCTAAGGATATAAAAATGAAACAAAATATTAATAAATAAATTTAATTTAATTACGAATCAATTACGAATAATAAAGTTCAATTTTTTAATTTTCATATTTTAAAAAATTGTAATTATATAATAATACCTTCTAAACAGTTATAAAACTCTGTTTCTTTAAAAACTTTTTTTCCAGCCACTTTTTTTACCGTGGTATAATTTTTTGCAACGTTTTGGGACATGTATTGTCTAATAATACTTCCCATATTGCGAACCAATGCACGGCGTTCGTCTATAGAACGTTTTATATGATAGAGCTAAAAAAAAATTAACCGTTATTAACAAATGTATTGTACACATATACATTACTTACTTATATACATACATACATGTATGTATGTATGTGTGTGTGTGTGTGTACGCGCGCGCGCGTGTGTCTGTGTGTTATATATATTTACATATATATTTACAATTTTCTTTTTATATTTTTTATTTGATTTTAATTCTTCGTTGAATTGCTCAAATTGTTCCATGCTATCACATGGTAATGTAATTAGGTTCTCATTATCCTCCTCATCTTCTGATGAAATTCTTGATTGCTCTCTATTTACTTGGTCTTTTAATATAGATAAAATATTTTCCACGTTTACGATAAGCTTTAAGATTGGTCTTTTAAGAACTGTCATTTCGTTTGTTAATTCTTGTAATTTTTCCTCTATTTTTTTTAAAGATTCTGAAAATTCAAGAAAAAATTATCAATATATAGAAATTATTAATATATCACATCTCATTCACAACTTAATTTACCTTCATGCTTGCAATTAGTTTGAGTACATTTAAATTTTTTAGAAGAAGTCGATGATAGCTCTTCAGTCGATCCTTCAGAAATATCAATTGCTAGTTCTAATTCCTCCTTCTCCGAAGAAGACTCATCTGACCGTTTTCTATGTATATTCAACTTTTTATTTTTTTTTTCTGAAAATAAATATTTTTAATTAAATTATTTTTGTTATTATTATTTTTATTATTATTATTTTTATTATTATTTGATATGTCATTGTGCTAATTTTTGCAATTATATTTTTAGCGTACTTTTTCTTGAACCTTCAGAAAATTCAAAACCACAGAGATCAAGCAAAAACTTGATTACAAGATAAAGAGAATGATGAGAACCCGATTTAATTACCATGTAATAGCATAAAAAAATTTAAACAATTCAATGAAAAATTAAAATCAAATAAAAAATATAAAAAATTATAAATATATGTGCACTATATATATGTATATTAAGACTTACGATAGGATTCGTCATAAATTTCTTTCGAAAACGATTGATGATATTCATCAGTTATTTGTTTTTCATTATAACTTATTTCTTCGAAATTGTTTTTCGATTTACTTGCGGTCTCAACATCTAACTCACTATCCGTTGTAAGAACATATTGCTGGAGATTCAATTTTTTTAACTTTTCCTCTGCTTCAGAATACGTTCCTAAATTATTCATAATAATGTACATTAAAAGTATTACTTATAAATATTATTAAAAAGTAGTAATTTTTTTTCAAATAATTGTTATATAAAAAAACTGAGAGAAAAATTGTTTTACAACGCAAGTAATTTATTTCTCTAGTAGTTTTAGAATAAATTTCCAAAAAATTATTATTGCGTTTCTTTACAATAAATTATTGAAAAATAAGCATATACTGAGGAAAAAATAAGTAGATCCAACAAAATGGGCGCTCATATACTGCCAATAAAACATATCTTTTGCAATATAATTATTTTGAAACAAATATGTTGTCATTGGATTAAACAACCCATATGGGATGTTTAATTCAAGGACAACATATTTGTTTCAAACAATAATTATAATGCAATAAGTATATGTTTCATTGGCAGTATATATGTGAGCGCATATTTTGATGGTTTACTTATTTTTGTTCTTAGTGTATTAATAACCATACAATAACCATACAAAGTTTATATATATATATATATGTGTGTGTGTGTGTGTGTGTGTGTGTGTGTGTGTGTTTGTGTGTAAAAACTAAAACTTTTTTTTAATTTACTTGCTTTCCCGCATGACTGTACAATGTATTTCGGCCATGAGTAATTCGGTGGTTGACAATTTTTTACAAGATTTCTTAATTTTGCTAATCTTTCCTTATTATAAGGCCGTGGCATAAAGTGACATAAGAATGCATTTTTTTTAACATCCCACATAATCCATTCCTTCGACACAATATCAACACTTTTAACATTATTTCTTATGCCTTTAAATTCAATTAACCTATATTTATAATCATTACTCATCTGCAATTGTAAAAAATATTTTTATATAACTCATGAATTTTTTATAGGAAATAAATAATATAAACAATTTTTTAAATTTTAATTAACACTTACCTTGAAAGGATGCAAAAATGTAAGAATTTATAATTTTTATTGTGCTATTTATGATGCGACAGGCGTAGCAAGATATATATAAGACATTTTTACAAACATTTGGTTGTTAAGTAAATATATGCCGAGCGCTCAGTGGCGTCTCAAGTCCATGAAGCAAAATGTTCAAATTGTAAACTTGTTTCTTTACATATGTAATAGTGCTAATACATAAATTTTTTCTTTCTCGACTACACTGAGATTTATATTTATCATTTTTTTCTGTATCTCATTTACTTTATATGTGCCAATCTTTCCATTTCTTTTCGTTACAGTCCATGCTGATAAATATTTTGAATTGCATGGATAATTATACATAGATTTCTTTTTTTTTAAAATATCACCACAAATTTCTATGTGTTCCATATGCGTTTGATTCTCCGGAAGATAAATATTATTAATTTGTATTATACTGCCATTAAAAAGTAAAACTGTGTTATTAGGTGATTTTGTTGTTAAGAGCACATCTTTATATTTTAATTTTTTTATATTTATTTTTCCTGAATTTTGACAGCTTGATTTTTTTAGAACTTTAATTCCATATGATACATTTGGTTGCACTTGAGGAATACAAGATATTTCATTGTAACGATGGCATATTTGCGATAAAGGTTTATTGCCACTACGTAATAATTTCTTCATTTTTTCTAATGTGTTTTCGAACGGAAATGATGTAATGTCAGATAGAGGACATTGCATGAATGACACATCATCCGCAATGTGCAGTAGATTGTGGACGTTACCAATTAAAAATTCCTTTCCATAAAATTTTGCTGTGAGATGTACAAATTTTTTTAATAAGTTTCGGGCATGCGTACAGTGTTTTAGTGCTGTGTCTTTTCCCGACAAAATCCGAATAGCAGCGTGAAGAATCATAAAATGTTTATATATATCTTCTGGTAAAATTTTTTTGAAAATAATTGGTCCAATATACAATAAAAGGAAATGATATTCAGTAGCCTTAAATTTTTTAAATTCTGATAGGGATCGAGTTGTTTTTTGGAATTCCTCTGGGATATACTGTTGAATTTTTATTAACAGAGAAGACAATTGTGTTTTTGAATTGTACGATAATTTTTTAATATATCGTTTGTCCTCTGTACCTTCCAACCAGCAGTCCAATAGTTTCTTCATAACTCCTAAATAAAGGAGATGCATTGCATCAAGTGGAAAACTGTTTATCATGTCAATTGGTGGGTGAATATTAATTAAAGGAGATATTCCTTTGTGATGTTCGCTATTTACTTGCTCTCTGAAGGAACTACTCGTTCTTCTTTCATAATTACCACCTGGATAAATAGTCCGATGTGAACAACGTTCACATGCCCAAAATCCGTTAGCATTTTTTATACATTTTATAAATGAACGAGCTGGCCTATCACAAATAAAAGCTTTAATACGAACTTGAAATACTTTATTATTTACATTTATTCCTTCAGATTGGAGCAGATTGATTTCCTCAACAAACTTTTCAAAATATTTTTGGGTATTTTCTGGTTTTTGATTTCCACAATAAATTGCAACCGGAAATGGTTTATAAACATCAGGTTGGTGGAAAATTTTACATAAAATTGGCCAAAAACTTATTGAACTGGACTTAAATAGTGGCAAACCATCTACATTTATAATCAACTCTATTAAATTTAAATGTAAATCAGGATTAAGATATTTTACAAGGTGTGAAGTTAGACCAAAATATACAAATAAACCATTATCATTTTCATCTAGTTTTCTCAATTTTATAATTTTCACTTGTAGTTTGTAAAAATGTTTTAGAGCTTTTTGGTAATTCAGGTAAGATGGGTCGTAATATATTTAATAAACCATCTAAGCGAGAATGGGGAAGTGGCGGAAATTGAATTGCCCATTCTCGAAGATCATTTATAATATTATTTGATTTTTGTTCGACTGACGAATTTGAAACTGATGAAGAAATATTTGCAGACTCATTTTCTGACATATCCAAATCATCTTCTGACACGTCTTCTCGAATATCACTTTCCTCAGTATTATCATTATCTAATGATATATTTGTCTCGTTTTCTAAATGAAAATGGTTTTGTACTTCAATCGCTGACTCTGTCTGTATGTCGCTGTCAAAATAGTTTTGTTGTTGTAAATTATCAACTTGAAGCAATTCCGATTCTTCAGATGACGCACTTGATGACACTATTATGTTGTGTTCCGCATAATTTTCGTTTCGACTTTTTTTTCGAAGCACACGATATTTTTGGACTCTTAAACGTGTTGAAACACGTTTTCTTGCTAATCTTCTATCAAATAAATCCATAATATTGCACTAATAACCTTAACTGGCAAACGTCTTGGAACAATGCAGTACACTATGTGAAGTATGTCTATTATTTTGTCTGTTATTGATTTTTTATAAGAAAAAATCATTTTCATAAGAAAAAATCAATAACAGATGACAGATCAGTCCATTAGTCATACGGGACTGAGCGTGCGATATCGATTCTACGTGATATCGTTAATGATAGTAATATTATATTAATATTATATCATTAATGGCAAACTTTAATCAAAATTTATAAGTAAAAAATAATATAATATAATATAAATAATTAAATAATATAGTATAATAATATAAAATAATATTATAATATAATAATAATATATATATAATATATATATATATATATATATATATATATATAATATTATAATATATTTCCGACGAGGCATATATACATTATTCTTATCAGGACCTGACTAAATAATTGCACCAAATTTCGAATAGAAAACGGCAACATGTCCTGATTGGAGCCCGCTTTTGTAACCTTTTATAAAATTTTGCATTTGAATTTTGTTTTTTATATTTTTCGACGAGGCATATATACATTATCCTTATCAGGACCTGATTAAATAATTCTACTAAATTTCGGATAGAAAAAGGCAACATGTCCTGGTCGAGACCCACTTAAGTAATCTTATAAAATTTTTTATATTTTCTGATGAGTCATATATACAGAGTTCTCATCATGACCTAATCAGATTACATGATTAAACTTTGCTTTCAGCTTTGCTATGATTACTTGATTGGGTAATAATAAGAACCTAATCGGTTAGCCTTAGTAAGGCATGCCTTAAGAATGCCCGGCCAGGTCCTTATGACATATCGGGCCAATTTCTAGTCGGGGAAGTTATAGAATTATAGATCTTGTAACATTTTCAGCCATATTTAAGCACACGCAGCGTGTAATCGAATTCACTTGAATATTTATTATATCTTTGGTTTTATTAAATATATAATTATGACAATTCGTACGATTGTGTTACTATATACAATTGTGTTACTACGTATGCTTTTAAAATCCACTATTCGTACACAATTTTTTATGATATTCATATGATGCAGTTTGAATCAAACGATAAGTAACGCGGTAGTGTATTTGGCTAGCGATCGCAATACTAACTGACTTCGAATGATCAATCTGATCATGTGTTGCCATAACGTCTTATTAACTGCATTCCGTTTGTAATTTATTTTTTTCCACGGAGATATTCGCGTTATTTCAAAGAGAATTAAAATTTTTAAAAATTATCTGACATAAATGATATATATGTGTAAAACGAAAATAGTTCAGTGTATAAATAAAAATAATTATATGTGTATATAATTGTTTAATGAATTTTATTATAAACTTTCATATTAATTTATTTCTGAATATCTTCTCTTTGGCATAAAAGGCACGTTTACTATATAAAAAGATATTCTGATTATAAGAAAAGTAATAATGGATTTAAAAAAGCTATTTATATACGTTTTCTGTAACATTCATATAATGCAGTTTGAATCAATACATAGTGTTTTTAATATAAATCTTGTAATTCTAGTATGAATAAATAAACAAATTTCTAATAGCACATAAATAACTAAAATAAATAAAATAATTGTACGAGTTATTATTTGCATCGAATAATCTTATAATAACGTATATAATATAATTTTACTTAATATTAACTTAACATAATATACTTAATATAATATATAATATAAAAAACTAATAATATTAATTACTTTATTATTTTAATTATATTATTGTAATTTTATATACGACAATTTTATATGCACTAGTGTGCATTAGTGCATTAGTCCAATCAAATTCTCTCTTTTCCCCGTTATAAATCAATGACTTTTTTCAAAAAAGTGATTTTTTAATGCTCTGGTCTCCTTTTGTGACTTGTTCAGTCCATTCATATATTAAATGATATACAACATTTTTATTTTCGAAATTATTTTTATATTTTTAAAGAAACATTTTGCTAAGAAGAATTCAGAATAATTCGGTGTGTCAAGAATAACTAAGAATAATTAAACAAGTATTTATATAATGGTCTTTTTTTTAAATTTATGCATGATAATAGATTTTCAAATATTTTATAGATTTATAAAAATTTATTCTCTCCACAGCAATGATAAATATATGTACTGCGACGCTTTTCTCCTTCTATGTTCTAATTTTTGGCCGGATAGAACGCCGTCAAACACAGGAGTAATGTACGATTTCCGCGCTCGGAGGAACGGGGATGAAGGGTGCTCGCGCGGGCCGCGGCGGTGCGGAGGCAGTTCGATATCTCGATCTTGGACGCCAGATGCGGTCTTTCACGCATCAGTTTTCTACGAAATTTTTACACAGCGCGAAAGATGTTAGCCTCCTTTGCCACGGGCTGACTAGCTCGCCTAACGGTAGAGGGGAGGGGTTCTTCGAGCGAGCCAATTAATTAATTCGATGCGCGAGAGACACAGAAACGGATATCTATGATCACAGGGGGACGAACCTTCAAATAAATTACGCGAATTTAACTAGAC